GACTATTTTAAGTTTGACCCTTTGCCCTCAGGAAAGGTGGCAACACCCGAAATTCAGGGCTTGATCTGCAGAACGCTCCTGGTCCCGGTGGTGGTGGTGGCACTGGTGGCAAAAAGGGTCAGCTCACTTTCCCTATCTTGCAAGTTGGGAAGGACCCATATGGTGCAATCCTCAGTCATGCCTTGCGTGTGGTTCATCCCAACTAATCCGTTTTGGAATCCTGCCACACAGATCTTCTCGGAGACTTCCTTGAGATTGCGGGCAAAAAGATCGACAAAGCAGAGGATGTAAAGGTGGGGGGTTGGATGCACTTTCATGTTGCCCATCTGGTATCATGTGGTGGAGTGTCATTTGGCCAGGAGAAACTGACGGCAGTAGCCACAGAACGAAGCAATGCGTTTTTTGATTGCATGCATGAATTATATATTCTATACAAACAACTGCAGTATGTGCAGATCTATAAGTTCTACTCTATAGGTTGGTGACCGAGCTCGAGTCCAAGCTGGGTGATTTCCGGTCGCACTTCGATTGCGTCCTTCAGCTCCAAGCAGAAGCAATGCAGCTGGAGAACGAACCGGATCAGCACCTGCCCCATCTTTAGCTGTGTGCAATTGATAAACCACTTGAGCGGTCACACTGAGAGGCACCATATAGATTTTTCAAGATCTAAGGACACAGAAATCGTCTTTGCGATCGGAGTTGTGTGAGTTGACTAAGAAGGACATCGTTCTGAACCAGATCATCACACGTTGCAGGGCTGTGAAACAGAAACCTGCCAGTAAGGCTAAGGGTTCCCCCAAAAGAGCCTCGGCCAAGAAACCTGCGGTCAAAGGCAAAGCTAAAGGTAAAGCCAAGGCAAAAGGTTGTGCAAAGGTAGAGCCAGAAGAAGAGAACGAGCAAGAAGAAGAAGAAGAGGAAGAGCCAGAGCCACCAAAGAAGAAGACTAAGACAGTCAAGAAGAAGTAGTGTTGCCAGAGCGTGCGCGGGGTTTGAGTGTAGCCCTCCAACGTCTAGGATGGCCAGGAAATGCGACAAATAGCTAGCCTAAAGCTTTGAATGACTCTTCAAAAATAGAGAACACATTAACTTGACATGTATATATGTTTTTTGGTCGCATGCAACTTGGCCAAAGCGTTGTGTGGCTACTGATTTTGGTTCAGCTACTGCAGCAGCGTCCGGATCTGTCGAGAAAACAGTCGTACCAATCCATGTATTTCTTCAACATCCAAATAGTTGGAGGCTTTCCCAGCAGCAGCTGGGAATGGGACTGCTGGGTGTGTTGAGTTGCTTCCATGACAGGTGGGTCGACGCTGCAACAATACACATCTCTTCAAGGCACCAACCTTTTGAGAAAAGAACTCATGTATGCATGCTGCCCTGCCTCAGGGTGCTTTCCGGAAGCTTCTGGTGATGGGAGCCTGGAAGAAGTGTCGGATGAGCTTGCAAAAGAGATCATGGAAGATTACTTATGTGGAGTATTTTGGTTGCGTTTCTACTGCCCATGTTCGGGTTCTCACATATCACATACTTATGGGGAACATTTGTCCTCTTCCCATCTCTCTCTCTGATCATATCATTCAGGCAGAGTCAGCCTACAGAGCTGGCAAAATTGCATCCATTGCTACGAGATTGGTGCAAAAAGGCGGGGTGGAGTTGCATATATATATATAGTCTATATAGGACTCACTGGTTGTTACAGCTGTTTGAGGACAACTACGTGGGGATAGCTTGCTATTCAGACTTGCCGGGGCCCGCAAGAACAGAAAGAATGCATGCAGGCTTTTGCACCATCTAGTTCATCGAACGCCAGGAATGACAGTACATATTCCTGTAGACACTTGCTTGGTCAGGGTCAGGCTGAGGAAGCCTGTCCGATTTCGGAAGAGTTGGTGGCCGATGCTCAGGATGGACAGCTGGGTCAAATGGTTCTTGGCCAACAAACCACAGCTTTTGCTGGGTGGCAGCACTGTGAGTTCAGGGGAGTGGCGAAACACCTTCACCCAGTTCTGGTCTGACTATAGGAGGAGTTGCCCAAATCATCCCCTGTTTTCTACCGACTTCAACTTGGCTGGCTGCATACCGTTCACCATCCATGGCGATGAGGGCCGTGGTCAGGTAAAGAGACCGTTTATGGTATTGACATGGCAGCCAGTTATTTCTCACCTTGGCCCTGTGGCATGCAATCACTCCACGTAACTCGATATGTCATGGCACCAGTTGTATATTGTTTGCCAGCTGTTTCTTCATATATGAGGTACGTTTGTCAAATTGTGGAGAACTAAGGCATTCGTTCACAACGCGCTTTCTTTTCTCATGCGTGTCAAGCCACTTGTACCATGGCTCCTTCACAATCGATGATCTTTTACAAGAGTTTGCCACACAAGCCATACGAGCCTTTGAAGATGGAATCCTCGACGCTAGGATAATTTGGTCATGGGTTACTGTATGGGTGCTAGGATTGTTCCCTCCAATGTCCAAGGTCCTCTCCTCCTTGTTTCGGGCCTTGCTCAGGACCTTGATGGGACACGGATCCGGATGGCCTGCGTTGGGTGCAAAGGCGATTGGCCTTTTTTGAGAAAGGCCGGTGGCTGGCCCCATCTCTTTACATGTCAACCAACATGGTATGACATGGTGCAACCAAATTGCAAATACGTGTGCAGAAAACCCTGAGGCTTTTCATTTATCGACAGGATTCACATCGCGCAGAGTGTGTCATAGATGTTCTGCGAAGGCCAGAAAAAAGACTATAACTACTGCGCATACGGAACATGAATGTTTTTCAAACTGACTGCATGGTTCATGTGAATCATTTTGCAGGAATGGGAGAACCCAACAGAGACCGCAGCATGGAGAGGGGACCCATGCGATAGCCCATTCAAAGACATGGCCCCTTTGCGAGCTCTCCCTGGCTGCCATTCTGAAGAGTATATATTGTTAGATGTGCTCCACATCTTTCATCTCGGTATCGGCATGGATGCAGCCGCTTCGACAATAGTCCTTCTAGCAAAACTTGGGCATTTCACCACAGCCAGGAAGTTTGACAACAGACTTGCTGAAGCATTCCGGCGCTTCGACCTTTGGTGCAGGGAAAACAAACATACCACTTCTATTGGAGAGTTTACAGCGGACTCATTTGGAATGAAGAAGTTTCTGGTCTGAGCTGTTGCGTGTTTTTTTGGTTGATCATTCCATCCTTCCACCATCCCCAAGTCCCAAAATGTGTTTTGTTGGACACTTATATATTTCTGTATTGCAACCGTGCCAACCCAAGATGGGTGTTCTGGCATGAAGTGGACCTGAGGAGACCCAACTTCCCGACCAAAATCGGTGGCAAGGCGTATGACACAGGACTTGCCTTGAAGTGGTTGGAAAGCGACATCATGCTGGACACGCAGGCCAATACAACTCAACTATATAGATATATATGGTATGCATGCTGCTGATTTCTCGTAAGTGTTTGCTAGTTGCCACGTGGCACAAGATCCATGTGCCCTGAGGCTGATCCGCACGATGACTTGTTTCAACTATCCAAGTATTTTCTGCAGTGTGCTAACAGATTCTTCAGCACCATCAACCACCAGGGGATTTGGCTACAAGGAAAAGCTCTTGAGATCGTGAGGGTGTGTAGCTATGAGATGTGTGTCACGTGGCAAAGTACGTGTTTTGCTTCTCCTAGTCATCAAACACACTCAATATGTTCTGAGAGACATGCACAGCCCCCAGGTTGCATATGCTCATTTGGCATCTGCAACATTTGAGAAAAACATGAAGCTCTACAAGTATAGACCGAAGTACCACCTGATGGTACATGTTGCTTTGGACCTTCGTGGATCCATAGCGGCAAACCCAATGAGTACCCTGGCCCTGGCACGGCATGTTGTATTTTTGCTGATCTATATCTATCTAATCTAATCATACCCAATGTATCCTGTGAAATTGGAAGGGGAGATATTTGCTGGATGCCCCTGAGGCAGTTCATGTTGGACCGATGAAGATATAGTGGGGCGAGTGTCGAGAACCTCACGGAAAGTGCATCAGCTGCTTCAAAGCACCAGAACCATTCAAAAGTGCCTAGGGCAATACGCCTCACAGTTCAAGAAGCTGAACTTCTGAACCTCTCATAGAGATGAGAAAAAGGGGCTTGCTGCCTAAGTGCTTGCGTGCAGTTTTGTATGAAAGCGTGGAGTTTTGAGTTGAATCGTTCACCTCGGCCAAATAGGAAAGAAATCCCAATAGTTAAGAATATTCATCACTATTGAGGCTCTAGGATGTGTATATAGAAAATGGTTGACCTGGTTTTAAACATGTCTAAAATATGTTATTACAACAAAATAGTCCCTGGGATTCCAACAACCATTCTCTGACAGCACTTTGCTAAGCATAACATATTGTACTATGATATCAGGGTTTTACACTTCAAAACCAGCAGGTCAACCGTTCTTTTGATGGTCTTTGAAGGCTAGAAGGCTAGGGAAAAGTATGTAATAGAATAGATTGTATAATATAGCAATTATAATGAGAAAACCTGAGAAAACAATGGTTCTTCGGCAAAAGGCTATTGTATAAATCAATGGTGGTTGCAAGCCTTATAACGTGTTTCTTGTTCGGGTCATGAAACGTCCCATTTTCGTACGAGCTGGAGGGTCTAACCAAGCAAAGGTTCCGGAGGAAGAATTGTTCGCATGCATGGAACGTCGACATGACATGCCGAAAAACCAGGACCCTCCAACAGGCTATTTGGGGACCCGACCACCGACCACATGTAATATATGTGGACACCCAACTTGTCACCAGGTAACTGTAACACTGCGCTGTGGGTCATCCTGACAACTTGTATGGCTGTGGGCGAAAACTGAGACACCCTGGTGGACCACCGAAAAATAATGAACCGAATAGATCAGCAGGGAGGTCAACCTTTCACGGGAGTCACCTTTTTTTGATCCACTGATCGGTCTCATCTGATCCGTTCAAGCAGGCGATCCCGAAGAAGATCCCGTCTCCTCAGAATCATCGTCTTTCACCTTCTCAACACGCGCAGACTTGGGTCTGCGAACCACCACCTGATACCGGACGAACGGCGGCCGAGATGGTCTGCATAGTGCCCATATCTATGCGGGTGGTGCTGGCCAACGAACTGACACTGCCAAGTCGTTAGCACATGTCATGTTAGCGCTATCGTCATAAATCACGTGAAGTCTTCAAAAGTCTTTCAAAAGGAGCTGCAGCTTCACCCAAGCACATCCACGGAAAGCAAACACAAATTGGCACCAGATCAGCGTCATAAGCAACGATTAAAACAATTTCATGGGCCATGAACCAACTCGTCTTCACGGCAGAAAAAGGGGATCCAGACATCCGCCAAACTGAAAAGACACCGTGCGTTCTTCTTCGCACGCTCGGACCGCTCGGACCGCCCGAGTTCGGTTCGTTTCGGTAAACCGACCCTCAGACCCGTGGTCGCCCCGGACAAGACCGGTGGGTCGGTGGCACGAAAGACCGTCATACTCAAACGGTGTTTGTTTTGGTTGGTAGAGACCTCGTTATAGAGGTCTCTTTAGAGAAAAAGAGGTACGTGGACCATCCAAGGGGCCTGCAATAGACTACCCTAGAATCCTTGTGGGCTTCCATTGGACACCTTGGATGGTCCTGGTAGAGGTTGAGGACGGTTGAGGGATGCCCATGAACCAACCCTTGTGGGTCGGCTGCACTCGGTTTGACAAAAATGGCCTCACGTCTACTACTCAGAACGGCGGGCCTCAAAGGGATTTTGGAGGGAAGAAATCGATCAAACAATCACAGCTATATCAGGACACCCTAAGGGGCTTCCATTGAGAGCCCCTTTTCTTGGTGATTCGCGGTGTTCATCAACCACCCCGACTGTGGGTACAGGCTATAGGAGAAAAATAGAGACATCTTCCAACCCTAAGAATCCGGGCCCTCAAACAGATAGGGTTTGGTTCGGGCCCGGACCCCTGCGAAGGTGTCGGGTCCGACCCCTGCCATGGAGAGCCCGGAGCTCGGATTCTTAGGGAAATACACTCCAAGATGGTCACGTCCGAAGATGGTCACAAGGATGGGACGTGATGGCCCTTCAAGGACTCCGGAGGACCATTTGATTTCCAAACATACCATCCATCCCAGACGCGACCCGGGACCCTCATATGGAGGGGTCGGACCCGAAAAGCCTGGAGGGGTCTAGGGGGTTCAAACCCTATGGTTTTGAGGGACCGGCCGGGCTGTAAACGGAGCGTCTGGGCACGTAATCTCCGCTGTCTTCATCTGAACAGGCTGTCACAAGCAGTAATGTAGACTCTTGATTAATAAACCCTCCCATTTGAAGTGGAAATGCTCTTCATATGGGAGGGTTTATTAATCAAGAGTCTACATTAAGTCAGATCAGCTCAGTCATCCAAGTCACTGTGTCATCCACTGCCTTGGGCTGCGCGGTGCCCTCCTGCGGCAACGCTGGACTCGCTGTGTCCTCCGCGGTCTTCGCGGATGTGCTCAGTTGATGGAGCATGGCATCGCCGAGATCTTCCATCACCTCAGCGATGGGCTGGCCGGACCCAGCACCGCGGCATCCGCACCGGGTGCACCGGTGCCTCTGAACTGGGCAAGGCCAATGCCCATCTGCGCGGTGCCCAAAGAGAAAACGAACCCTGCATGTGAATAAGAAAACCGCTCTGAAAAGCCAAGGCCAGTGATTTCATCAGCATTCGTTTCACAAAAAAAAACTCACACATCAGCCCCAACGCTGAAAAGCCCCTGGTCAACTTGGTCCCTCAAAAGTTTTAAAGGAATCTTTCTTCCCCGAAACCCCGGTAACACCAGGATGCCTTGGGGTGCTGGCTCCGAACAAAGGAGATGGGCCTCTTCTCACCTCCACAAGAACAGCAGATGGGACCCCGAAACCACCCAACTCCATGTGACTCCTGGTCATAAACCTTTCAACACTCCTTTCAACCTGGACACGTATGGCCCGCATCGCATCGATTTCGTGCTTTTGTGGGATTAAACAAACAAATTGCAATTTAAACATTAAACACAAACAAGCAAACACGCATCACTATGGGACCAACCTTTTCGCTTTCCCCTCCAAACACCTCCTCTTCAAACTCCAAGCCCTCCTGCATAAACCACCTGCATTCGACCTATTCGTACCTTATGGCTACGGCGGCTCATATCTGTTTTTTGGGGTTCATGTCATGTCTCATCTTTGAGGCTGCCCGTTTTCTGCAGGTTTCTGCACGCCAAGATGGCGTCCGTCGCTCACCGAGCCGCTAAGGATCGCCTCCGCGGCTCCTTCTCGCCCTTCGCTTGACCTGGTGCGCCTGCAAGACCAGCGCCCGCAAGCGGTGTGACCGTCTTCTGCGGCGGCTTGGCGGTGGGCTTCGGCGCGGGCTTGGGCGTGGGCTTGGGCATGCCTGGGCGACAAGCCATGACTTCGACATGATCGAAGCTGGGACAGGAGGTTGGTGTGAAAGGGTCAAATGTGGGAGGTTTATCAAGAAATGGATGGCAGGTCCAGTAGCCAAGAAAACATCTGTGGAACTGTGGAACCAAGGGTTGATGATGGTCCAACGATTCTGCTAGCGATGCACCACAAATGATACATGGACATCGGACATGCCAGCTGGTATAGCTGCAGCTTTCTTAAAGTGATCTTTCTACCGCAGCTTGGGGCGTTCGATTCGAGCTGCTCACCCAAGGATGATCGATGCTTCTTTTAGGGGATCCAGAAGCCACTGGGACTCACTTGCGGAAGGCTACTTCTCACGATGAAACGATAAGTGCGTGTGTCTCAGTTCGTGCCTCAGAAATAGTTATACATGTGCAAGCCATTGTTTGGGTCATGTCCTATTTTCTAGACCCTATAGGCATCCACATACCCTCTGAGACGGCGATGTGTTCGACACTGAGACATGTATACATGCCAAAACGTCAGGTCCACTCGTACCAAACCAGAGCGAAACGCTACGACTGCCGGATCCCGAAAAAAAAGAGCTTCGGAGTACGCACGACGGTGTCGTCCGGCGCCCGTGTCCACGAGCTCCGCCCGGCAAGCGGCGCGGCGCCGACTTCTGGCGCTGCACGGCTCCGGCGCTGGACTCGCGCCGCGCCGCGACGGCCTTGGCGGAGGCGCCAAGCCGGGTGCCTGGACCGTGTCGGTGCAAAGAGGCGCTTGGTGGGTCGTGAGGTACGACTGGAGGTGGGTCATACAGTACTCAGGTTTGACCCGAGTCGGGTCCTGGACTGGGAGAGATTGGTGGTTCCATAGGTGCTTGGTGTTGTCTTCTCATCGAAGGTTCCAGGCAACTCTGGACATTTCACCCTCCGTGGAGAACGTTAAATGATCAATTGGAGCAATGAAGTCAGGGGACACCCTGCACCAAGCTTAAAACACACCACAGTAATTATTGAAGGGGGTCAAGATTGTCAGCGTGTGACATGCTAAATATGATCCTGAAGATAAAACCATATAAAAAACCCTGAGTCTTCAGAACTGTGCACACAGCCATCGACCGTGCGCCTGCAAATATGTGCATGTTGCGTATGTTGGGCGCAAGTATGTATATTGATATATGAACTGTTTTACATCATGTTCAATCCCTACTAAATCCCTGGTTCTTGAAGAACAAAACACACGCTTTGTCTCACGCAATTAAAATGCATCTTGGAATGATGCATCTGTTTCAAATGACTCTCGAACCCATGCGAAGCCTCTTATACTTTGAACCGGAGATCGCTTGTTTTTTGAACCAGAAGCGTCGGGATAATAAGGGAGAATACCAATGATTGACCCCTTGACACCCCAAAATGGATCCGCATACAGTATATACCCTCTTTTTGAGGGTTTTGGTGTTCGACACGTTGATTTCTTGGCGGTCGCCTGAGAAGGTGGATCCGTGGACAAAAAGTGGCAAGCGTCTAGTCTTCACATCCACCGATCTTTAGAGCTCCTGGCCTACCTCCGTTTCGAAGGTGGTTGGGGTGGGTGCCAGGAGGTCTATCTACCGTCTAAGGGTGGTTGGAGCCCTGGGGTATTTAGATTGGGTAGCTGATGCACTGCCAATAATTACATGACTCATATTACCCCACCCACAGAGTCATAACCAGTCCTCAGCATCGTGTCAAATTCGACTTCAACTTGGACTCTGAGGTGTTTCTTTTTCCGCCGACCTGGACCAGTTCCAGTGTTCGTCCGCTGGCTATCTCGCCGTTCTCCACGCAAGGGAGTCCGAGCCTTGCGGTGCCGGAATGAAGCAACACATATTTCAGACTCCTGACGACCTGGCTGTACCTCAAAACCGGCCAAAAATACATTCAAGGCTACCCCCCCCCGTGTTGAGAGACAGGTTCATCGTTTTTCCCTACAAAAGGAAGCTCCTGCTGCTGTGATGATTAGAGTTGGGAAGGTGAATTCGCCATCTAAGGATCGAAGTACTGGAGCCGGAGGGCGGAGGGCAGGACCCGCAGGGATTGAGGCAGTTTTCGCCAGGGATGGAGGGTTTTCAACGGGAGTTCTCTTCAAACCCTTCCCTCCCCCGGACGCTCCGTTCACAGCCCTTGCTCCCTCAATGGACCCTGTGGAAAACCACCCCCCACTGATTGGGATGTTGATCTGGCTAGTGAGCTCCGCCAAAAAGATGACGAAGACAGGCTACCAACATGGGCTAGCAAGCATATTTAACCTAGTTGTGTTTTGACTCACGGCCATGTGATGTATACATGTATAGACAAAATAGGGACAAGATCGTCCGAACCATAGTAGGTCGACATAATTTGTGGTAAAGCATCGGGTTACTTCATGTTAATTCTACAAGCCCAGCCTATATTTTGAATAGAACTCTCTGACATCACCCATTTGTGCGCCACCAGGAAGCAGTTTGAGCACGGCTCACCGTTGGCTTCTTTGGGATGATCTCTGGTGCCGGCTTAGGCTCGACACGCCTCGGTGACGGATACAGGAGGAGAGGGGCGGAAGACGGTTGGGTTGCTGGTGCTCAACCCCTATGGCTCCTGGTCCGTCTCCTCAGCTTCGGTGAGGACCCGACCCATCTGGCACCCCTGTCCCATCGAGTTCGAAACGGAGGGGGGCGGCCGTTTAGGGTGCCCGAACGGAAAAGAAAGCCGAGGATGAGTGAGTTCCGTTGAGGTCGGAATGTCAATCAAAACGCTTCCATGGACGTGAAGAACGAGGGATCCAGGGGGCGAATCGAGTGCCGTCAACTGGGGCGGTGACTGACCGGCCGCCCCACTCCGCAAAAAGCACCCAAACTCCATGGAACGACTTGGAAGGCACTTGGAAGGTCGAACGCCCGAAATCGGAACGACGTGGCCCTTGATCCGATGGAGAACCCAAGTCTCTGAATTTTGGGCCCTTTCTTTCTAAGGGCCAAGAAGAACACGTTTTTCACTCGTAATCTTTATAAGCCCTAGGGCTTCAACCATGAGCCCTAGGGCTTCAACCACCTCCAGAGAAGATGGTAGGGGTGGGTTTGGAAGGTCTAACCACCTTCGGATGTGGTTGGAGCCCTAGGGAAGAATCCTCGAACCAAAATCCTTGGACCTTTTCCAGGTCAAAAAGATGGCATCATGTCTGATGTAGGATGGGGACACATGTTTCCCCATCTTTCATTGGACTGACACGAAACCATGGGACTGGTTCCATTCTCCATCGAAACGTGAACCCGAAGCAAATCCAAAATCCATTAGGACATGGTCCCGAATTCATGCTGGCACTGGGGGAAAAGGCATGCTGGCCGCTGACCCCTGGCACTGGGCGGTTACGCGTAAAACCCCCGCACGCCTTGGTGCGGGCTTCAAGGTCAAGCCATTCCGCTCAGAGGGCCGCCGTTCTCCATTGATAATGGGCATGGCCTGACACGGAGCAAAGGTTGGAGAGAGGTGCCGTGGAACCGCTCCACGTGCGGATCAGTGATGCAATGAATGAGTGATGCATCCGGAAGGAAGCAAACGTGACCCGTTTGGGGCTCCAGGAGAGTACCTCCGAAGCGGTTCGCTATGACTGGAACCTCCTGGCACCAGGGCAACCGGTCGTCCCACCGAATCGAAACGAAGGTACTTAGAGCCCACCTGGAGCCCAAGGGAGGGAATTCTAGCAGCTTGGGATTATCTGGGGGGTCATGACTAGGGGGTCTCTCATCAAACCTAGGAGTCACTAGGTGCTCTTTCTCCTCCACTCATTTCCCGTCAGCAAAAACAACACGTCGACACCTGGGGGTCATGACGTCATTCTGCTCAAACGAGGCAAATACCAATTGTGTTCATATCAACATGAAATCCGCGCCAAAGACCTTGCGCCAAAAAGGGCTGACCATTGGCTCAGACCAGCAACCCTGTCCTTCCCCAGACCATCTGACCATCCATGTATGGAATAGTTACCATACATTTAATGACCAACAACCCAAAAAACCCAGTGTCCTTCCCCCTACAGGTCCAGTATGATCCAGATCTGACCCCCTCTGACCCAGGAGACTGGTCTCCCGGTCCTAAAGACCTCATAATAGTCTTTATTTAGTGTTTTGTATGACCAACTGGTGACCAACTCCAGTTAAAATGAGACCAAATGGACTAAATGGACCTCAAAAAGCAAGAAGTCCCTTCTGTCATGCTGACCTCTTTCGGCTGATAACAACAAAGCCACTGGGAGCCCCTTTTCGAGCGCTCGGTCTGCGCGGTCAGCGCACGGGTTCCTTCAAGACGATGCCCGTCTTGCGGAAATGCTCGAAGCGCTGCACTTCGTTCCTCAGGTCCTAGCGGCTTAGAGCTGGCAGAGCTGGCACAGCTGGTGTCGTGTTCGAAAGTCATGGTCGAACAAGGTGTCACTCGATCTGCGAATCCTTCGCGTAATTGTTTGGTCCATCTGTTTGGTTGTTGGGTAGTGAGGTGACAGTCCAAATGACCGTGAAAAAGGGTGCACAGTGGTGGCTGAGAGTGGCCCTCTACCTCCAAGTAACCTTAGCTAGTTTCCGACCATCCGGTCATCCGGAAGCTCGTGCGTCCGGAAGCTCTAAGCTCGTGATTCAATGGACATAATAGCTATATTATAACAATCGCTATAACAATCTTTGCTATTACATAAAGATTGCTATAGTATTACTCAATATGACACATTATGAGTCTATGAGCGGCATCACTATATATCATTCATATAGCACTTCATAGCTATAACAATGTGTGCAATATGGTTATCGGGTGTTCGCCTTTCTCGCATGCTCTCGCTCCCTTGCAAGAGCAGCTTGAAAGCTGCCTTCACAGTGGTTCCGGTCCCAAGATCTGGATCTACCTCCAACGCCTCCAAAGGAGCTCTAGAAAATAGCACATGACATCACATGACCCCATAAAGACAGGCTACAAATGCCTCATTTTCTGCACTACGGACGGGTCGACTCCAGGTG